TGAAGAACTCTGTATATCATGGAGTCATTTGAATCACCATGTTAAGACAACTGAGTTTTCGAACAAAGGTTCGACTGCATCCGAGAATAACTTGGGCATTCAGCGGACCATCTTTGCCAAATGAACCACGCCATCCATGCTTGGTTTAGCATGAGTACGAAAGATTTTGTTTCTCTCATGCTCGACTGAATTTTGACTCGCAGGTTTGCCCAGTCTACAACAAAAAACTTAGAGGAAATGTAAAAATGTTTCACTCTTATTGGGACTCATCAGCGGTGCCCATTTCACTCCTATTTTGGAAGATTAGACCCAAGGTCTTTCAGATAGTTACAGAACAGGCTCGGCTATGAGTGGCTGATCAAGTCCGTGAACAACATATGGCACAACTAACCTTCAACCAAGCAGTTTCATTCATGTAGTACGATTTTAACTATTTCTTCAAACAGGAGGTAGCAATCCTTAACGTTTTGCGTTTGTGTTTTCCATACGTTTCTTGACTATTCATGGTTTCAGGGACCACGAACTGACGACTCCAACACATAAACCCTGCCTGTAAACCAACTTGTCTCAGCACAGAAGTCTTAGTCACAAGTAATGTCCCAACAGAGGACAAATTCTAATGACAGTTTCGTTGGGATGGCGATAAACCACATAATCAATCTATTTGTTTGTTATGTGAAAAAGACGCTAAAAGTCCGAAAATATGACAGCTCTTCTGCAGGCGCAGACATTCAAACGTGAGTATCCCTGCCTGGAACATGGCGCCAGACCAGAGTTAGTCTGTCAGTTCAAGAACGGAAACCACACCGATGTACTGGATAGGTAGGTGGTTGGCCGCCATAACTAAATACGCAATTAGCGCATATACACTCATTTGCAAACAAATTTGTTTTTTTGGAGAGACTCACCTGGAACCCAGCTGAATCTCTCGTTTATGATGTTCTCAGGCAACTGAATGTGCTGCATCAGGCCGCCTCATGTTTCAGTCACCACGATATTCTAGATATCGCGTTACACGTATATTCGTAATGCACTACTCATAAGGTTGCTGGAAATTCGTCGACAGCCCACGACCGGTTTCGCCCCTCTTGGGGCTCATTAGGTAGGCGCAGTCCCCGGGTTTCCGTCAACCTTATGTTCTACTTGAAACCAAATTGCACGAAATTAGCGAATATACACTCATTTGTTTGAAGTAGAGCATAAAGTTGACGGAAACTCGGGGACTGCGCCTACCTGATGAGCCCCAAGAAGGGCGGAACCGGTCGTGGGCTGTCGACGGATTTTCAGCAACCTTATGAGTAGTATATTACAAAGATATAAATACGCAGTTCTTTGATCATCACCATTAGAATTCGTAACTAAGTCTTAAAGATCAGTACGGTAAAATCCGTCCAAATTGTCGGTGTTCCATAACAGAAATCTCAAGTAAGAAATGAGGTTGAAGTTGCTTCAACAAGCGGTGCACCAGATCCTATTTGAAAGTGCTTACACTTTGTCGATCAACATAGCACTCTCGCTCTGATTCACCAGACACCCTGTTAACCAATGGTGTTGGGGTGTACTTTATCATCATTGAATCTTTCATGTAGCAAGCAGTTCAACAACGAAGCTGACAAATCCTTGACATCAAGAAAGGGAATACAAGGAAGTTCCTTACTGTAGGCTTGCAAATTAACAGTATAAAACTTAAAGGCTGGACGTTTTACGATCGAGAGAGAAGGCCAACTTGACGGACCATCACTCTCTTTCTTTCCGTCGCATCATTCTGGGCAATTATTCTGATCGATTTTATGGCAGCATCCATACTACTTGAATAACTCGGCATTTGATCTCGTTTGATTTTCACTCATCGGAACATTGCCATAATTGAATGTGTTTGGGATCACCTCTGGCAGTTTTCCGAGAGACATTTCGAAGAGGATGGACGGACTGTGCTGTATCTCACTCTGCTACGCTCTGATTCCATCAACGGTCATGGATGCGTTCATGTCGGACTAAGCGATCGGACCGACACCATGCCACAGAGAGCAGTCACCATGTTCATCATCATTCCCGTGAGGGTCTGAAATCGGTATGAGCAGTTCAATTATTTTTGGCACCGAGTCCATACCCTAAAAGACAACGATTTCGCTTCTGGCTGTGTTGTTTACAAAACTGAGCAATAAGTAATTTCTTGGGACTAATAGAGCACACACAAAAAACCGATTCAACCTGTATAGAAAGACAACGATTTCGCTTCTGGCTGTGTTATTTACAAAACGTGTGGACGAATTGATGCACAAACTGAAGAATAACGCCAGAAACGGAGTACGCTCGTGAAGTACTCTCACGTTCTTCAAACGCACCGATTCACACGTACACCGCACTATTCACCATGTACTTGGTCGGCTTCGAATTTTCCATAAGTCTGAGTTTTATTGCACACCAGACTAGCAAAGAACCGATTGAGTGTGCGTAATTTTATTCAACCGAACCTTCTTTTCTATGCGATGAGACTGAGCCTGTACGTTCGAGAATTGTGAGTGACACCGTACCACTACCGATGGGTTATCACCAAACTGTGACCATCACAAGCCTGATTTTCCATTCTATTTGCATATTCACCTTTGTTCATACTCTACGAATCTGTCGGCCCTAGATACAAGACATTCAAAGCGATGTCTCAAAATAAGCTATGTTTTCGCAACAAAGTGAGCGGACTACACACCGTTTTGTCGTAGTTGCCTCTGGTATCAGTGTGAACTCGAAAGAGTAATTTCGATAGACCGTACAGTTTAGAAGCACTCGGCGAGTGTAAGTATGTAACTCAAAGCGACTATAATCTTACACTGTTTCCAGGTCTGCTTGTGTGATTAGTCAAATAACTTTAGTCTTGGGAGAGTGTCGTGCCCCCAGACACGCTATCACAGAAAAAAAACCGCCCATCATTTTGGACCTAATCCCCTATTTTGCTTAACTAATCTGTCTTCGTGACAATGGCAAGTACGTGCATCGATTTTGTTCGTAATTTTCGTATGATACAAACAACGATTAGGACAAGATTTTCGTTAGGTGAGGGTTAATCTCGCGTGAAAACACCCCCCTTCCACGAAGTGGTCTACATATTAGTCCAAAGTGGCTTTTGGGTACCTAATAAGATTGATAAAAATCAGGGATTGGGTCTGTCTGATGGGCAACACAAATGAGAAAACCAATAATGGGATGTCCAGGAATCGGTGTCAACTTTTAATCAAGAAGACGATAGCGAGCTGTCCGATAGTTTGCATCAACATTATGAGCAATGTTATATCGAAGTTAGCACCTTTTGGCAATGAAACTCCAAGATGGAAACTACCAGCCGTTTGAAACAAACTCAAAGCGGAAACGGAATCGATAGTTTCAGGAGTGCTGATATTGATTTCCCTTTAAATTGTGTTCAGTAAGCATGTTTTCCCTACGCCAAATATTCGACAAATGGTTAAAGCAGGTAAAGTCTGAGTAGAACGAAAGGACAAGCATGACGATTGAGGGTAACCATCAAATTCCAGCTTACTGAAGAGATGCTCGCCCAAGTGAGCTAACGAGCACGCTGTCTTTTCCCAAACGATTCACCACACACCTATCCAACGGAATAATACTATCGTGCTATGTGCTATCGATATTAGTGAGCCCTCCCCCATGTGAATTCCACAACCGATCAGTCGTTTATACTGTCCCGATACCCAAAGAACACTGGTGTAAACCGATACAAAGTGCAAAATGGAATTGGGCACAAAAACAATGGACGAAAAGATGCTCATAGTGGGACTCGGTCCAGTGTGTACATGTCTTTTTATAAGCCCAACGAAGAACATGCATCTCCGGTGCTTAGGCAGGCAGGGGGTAGATTTTTGCAGACTGAATATTCGTTGTTCGCATCTATCCCTCGAGCGTGTCTTTTCATTCATTTTTGTACACTTGAACCTCTCGGTTTAAGGTTTAACAATTCTTCGCTCTGGTACACCCAGTGTGCAGTGATCGGCTATCCGACGATGAACCAACGGCACGGAGACCCTTTCAACTTCACCGAACTAAGTTCGGAGTTGACTGATTTGCGTCATATCTTATAACATTTTATACGAACGTCGTCTGAGTAACCGAACGATGTCAACATCGGGTCCGTTTCGGACGTATAATAGGTGGACCACAAATTGAACCCGCTTGAGATTGCTCGGTAGTTAAGGCGCGAAATTAGTTATCGGAATGTCCGTGGTTCGAACCCAACCTTGACATCTCGACTGATTTTGTGCAGGCTTGAGTAACTTGGCAGAAACTCATCCCTCGTACTTATTTCAGGTGGCGTGGACCTGAAAGAGCGTAGCAGCTGAACGATTATTGTTTATTTAAAGGCTCTTGTAGAGGGTTATGTGCCAAATCACAGGAAAATGACTCAGAATTTCAAAGGGATAGACAAATGAGCGCATGTTTTTCTGTTTACGCAATGTGATTATAAACTGTCTGATCGTTTCTGAATCACTTGATAATTAGCACAAGGATTCTGACTATGTTCATCCCACGGTATGTAGGTCAAATTTTATAGGTCAATGCCCCTCATGGTGTAGTGAAATGAGATTTTGAAGGCCACGCTATACTGACGGAAATTAGTATCTCTCTATGCTTGAGACAAATGTTCTCAAGATCACGTCTGGGTTCCTGGAATGGCTAATCACTTTGAATCACCGTGCCTTGTTGGTGCGCGTAATATAGAAAGCATCAGAATAAAGAATACATAATGCGAATTTTCCGGTCGATAACAATAAGAGCTGGCGGCATCACATTCAAGGCATCCGTCCAGATTGGACGGTAAACCAGTGATAATTAGTTCTTGTCGAGCTGTGTCTCCAACGGTTTCAAATGAATCGCTAATTAGAATTTCATGCTATATATAAGAAAGCGCTGGCTAACGGGAATACCTTAAGGAACCAGTGAACATGTATTTTACACTTGTACTTACGTTGTACCTTGGTGCATTCGTCGGCAGTATGATGCCTGGAGGAAAGCAACCATTGACGGAGGTTGATTTGGAATCAGAATTGTTCCAGGGATTTGTAGGCCAAGCCGAAATCAAATGTAACCAAGCAGTAAACAGTGTATCCTGGTTTGTTCGGGAAGGCCCAATCAATGGGACAAAACAGGTAGGTCGTGTGACGCGTGTTTAGTTTACGTTCCACCGCCTGACAGGTTGTTTCCGGCATCAAATACGAATTTAACTTTCTACAACAAGAGTCAGACTGCAAAAAAGAAGCGAAACTTGCTGGGGATAATGAGACATCATGCGAAATAAAGGAAAACGGAGTGAGTTGAACAAAATTTTGTTTTTGTATAAATTCTGTGTGCAAATTGCACTGCCACCGTGGTAGTAGGTTTTTGTGATCCATGAGGCAAGCACTAGGTGATCGGTATCAATCTGACTTCTAAAACCGTCTAAAACTAAATGATTCCTCACCAAAGCCAATATAAACACCGAATAAAATAAATTCGACGCAGGATACACAAACTGGTTATTCAATCCAACGTATCATCACACGTGAGGAGTCTGTGGATAATGGATAAACCCGTCCAAGTCTCGATCAGCCGCTCGTAACCAAACCGGCTGGCTCGGACTACTAGTCACGAGATCACGGTTTCGAGACATCCTTGAGTTTCGTAGGGTGCATACTACTGACAATCCCTGATAAAGATGAAACAGCTATACAGCGGTAGGGCTTTTCAGCACAATTCACTTGAAAATGAAAGCTCAACTGAAAAATTCCCAAATCTTCTTGAACTGCCAATATACCTCGACAATCATAAGCATCCATATCGGTCGCATTTACTTAGCGGTATCGGTCAATTGCTGATGTTACTGTGTTCTTTTGTCAAATTACACTTTACAGCTGGAACACTTGTGTAGCGCACATGTGTTATATGCGCCCCATGCTGGTCCAACAGTTGTCGAGGTGGAAGTGGCCGATGTTTCTGAAGGTGATGCTAACCAGGAGGGTGAGAAGAAAGTCCTGGAATCTGTGGAGGCGGTGGTAAGTTGACTATTACTGGATCATCAACATAATGGAGGAAAAATCAAGAGTGTTCGATTGTATTAGAAGTCACGTGCGGAAGATATTCCACAGCGATAAGCCTGGTGATGCTCGTTATGGTTGTTCTGAGCAATTCTCTGTCCTATGATTCTCTCCAATATACACACGTATGCTCTCTGTAAAGTGAACCCTTAGGAGTGTTATTTGTCTGGTGGTGGTAAACTTTGTGATGACTTCATATTACGAAATTAGCACTTGATTCTTATGTAGTTTTGAGCTGTACTACTGCACGTTAGATATTTTGGATGTACGATGCAAGGAAATGCTCTCTTGTCTGTAGCACTTTTAGGGAGGTGGTGCAGCGACGTCATGTGTATTAACAAACCAGCGAGTGGACTTGGGACTCTTGGTGTCGCCCGCCTATTGCTTGAATGGGTCAAGGGGTTTTTGTGCAAATGGGCGTTCGCAGTACAAGAAATCCTCTTACTCTGGCCTGCAATGCGTCTCAGGGCTCGGTATTAGGTCCACTATCAATTAACTCACGCCGTGTCTATTCTAGGCCAACGGCCAAATAGATCAAGCATATTCTGTTAACTCGCAAGTCAAAATTTACGCACGTAAACACTGGCCGAGCTAGACTGTCTCACAGATTTAAACGACGATGCAGCAACCTAAGCAGCTGTGATCATCGGAGAGACCTATAAGCTACTGTAATAAACTCATCACTTTCAGGAGTAGCATTGGAAACATGGGCCAAAAATCGTCCCTCTGCATGCATGAGATCAGAGCAGAGAGTATCTTTAGCAATGATTATTCGAACAAGGCAGAGGATACATCAGATCATTTACCTTTAGAATGCCAGGACAACTGAACTGGTAAGAGGCAACTGCCAGTAAAAATCCAAAATCACATTGGACTAGCATCTACAGGAACTGAGGCGCCGCGAAAGGATCCCACAGGGATATGTAGTGAAAGACTCAAACCGGCTCTGTCCCAAACTTTAATGAATGGACACTGAATGATATGAATGTATTCTGAATTGAATGACTTATGGCATGCCGTCGGAATCGTAATTCAGTTTCGCAAATTTTCTTATGTAATTATGGCGAAGTACCGATGTAACGGTGCAGTCTACTGCTGAAACATGCAGTAGTAGTATCTGGTCTAGTGGCAAAGCATCGTCCCTGTATCTGATAGAAGGTTGATATGGAAATTACTGAGCCACTTTGCAGTCTCTGTTCATTATTGTTGAATATTCAAACAAGAAAGAGAAAGCGTTCAACT